AAAAAAATTAAACTAAATATAGTGCATTATCTTTCAAAATATAATGTGATATCATGCAAAAGCACTAGTGTTTATAAAATATGATATAAGCAATATTATAAATCATGACGTGAAGTTAGACATCCACACAACTCCACTAGTGATATTGTGAAATAATCCCTCCAATAAGTGAAATCCAACAAATCCAGAATGTGTGACCAGTGAAAAAGTGTACAAGATCAAATAAGTGCCACCACTCTGCGTTAGGATAACATGCTATTACCCTCTTTCAGCTTGCACAGGCGTTTCACAAATCCCCATATGCCAAATGGCTTTCCTCTTATGGGAGTATGCAGTGGGATCCCCCGTTCCTCACAGGGCAGAGAAGAGACAACTCAGTGGAGTATATATATGAAAATCACACATTTATTATCCGCTTACATTTCAGGAAAAAAACGTCCATCCTATGCTGAAACCACATCCAAGATGGCCGCGCTGCTCCTTCCAGTTTTGCATCTGACGTCTGCACTATATTTCGTTAAATTTTTTTGAGGTATCTTGGATTGGAGTGACGAATCGGATATTTACCACAGCTGGAAGATTGGATAGTGTGGATAATTTTGCATTGTGGACAATTTTTTTTGATATATTGGGAATGTGGGGTAGGATTTGAGTTTTTTGGGGAAGGTTCGTAGAAAAGGTTTATGATATTTGCACTTTCAAGGGTGAAAGATTTACTTTTCTTTGGGGATTCACAGAGATTTTGATTTGATTGAACATTTTTAAGCAGTTCACCTTTACCAAAAAGCTGCCTATATACTGTAGATAAGGGGTGGCTGTAAATAAAACAAACTGTCAGGCTTTGACTACAATTGAATAATGCCCTTGCAGGTGACATCCTCCTGTTCTGCCTTTGTTGTTAAGATGTTACTAATGCAGGCCATAGATGGGGAGAAAAACGGCCGATTTTTCGTCCGAAAATAAAACCGGCCGATTATCTTATCGTTAGTGGACGATTTTGTCGGCCGTTTTTCGTGTATTTTGGACTTTCAGATTATCGGTGATGTTGGAAAATTTTCGAAAAACGCCCGACTTTATCCTCATTGATGGTCAAAAACGAACGATCGTTTTCCGAAAAAGGATCACAAAGGCCACAAAATGACATCATTTCCCGTTATAGGTTACTCATTAATCGGCCGATTTTCGTAATAATTGGTGGTCAGGTAAGTTTTTTAGACCGACCGATAGTTCGTTAATCGGCCGAAAATCTGCCGTTTTTCTCCCCATCTATGGCCTGCATTAGACTCTCCCAGCCTTTACTGCTCACCCCCCCACCATCACAGGAGCAAATTATTTCTCAGATTCAAGTCTCCTCATTAGCACTTTCTTTATACTGTCATGGTAGCTCAGTGATGGAGGAGATAGTGAACCATGCATGTGTGCAGGTTTGAGAGCTCGATCCTGTAATGGTGAGGGTGAGCAGTAACAACTGGGAGTGTCTTAGTAATGTCCTAGCAACAAGGCAGGATGGAATGATGCCATCTCTGGGAGTTTTTCAGTCAGGCTTCCAGAGGAACATAAATTACCTATACCTATAGCAAGGGTATTATTCAACTTTAGTCAGAGCTCCACTGTTTTTTTATTTACAGGCACCCCTTACCTGCATAGGCAGATTTTTTTGCTATAGCTATATTTTTGGCCTTCGGCTATATTTACACTTCGACTTTAACACACAACTTTAACGCACAAACTTCGACTTTAACACACAAAGCCTACTGCTTTAATGTGTTTTTTGATGTGTTTTTGATGCTTCTGTGATTCTTTGGTGCTGCTTCGATGATGCTTCAGTGATACTTTTAAATCTTTAACCTCCTCGACAGTCTGATTCTTTCCGATTTTTTGCGCTGAAAGCGGTACCATTTTTTTGCATGGAAATATGTAGTTTTTTATTGCAGGCTGTAATTTTTAGGAATAACTCACTGGAATCTGTCCGAACAAGAGTCTATTAAACATCCCGGATATGATAAAATTTGAAACACGAAATCATAAATTATAATTTAATAAATAATCATAAAAAATAATAATAATACATTTAATTCAATAATATAATCAAACCAAAAACACTGAAATTTGAAATACAGAGGCAAATTCGCACATCGCTGAGCAAAGTCGCAAAATCGTTTTCAGTGTCTGATGACGAATTTCCCCCACAAATCATTATCACTCAATTCTGCAAGTGGTTCTGATTTACTATCGCTGTTCTAAAACCGCTTTTGACGTAAAGGGACGTTTTTTGGACGCCATGGACTTTTCTAAGTTTCCAGACAGAAAGAACAGTAAAAATGCAGGCAGGGCGCAGGACAACAGTAGGGACAAAATATATGTGAAATGCATTGAAACAGCAATAACAGCAAAAATGACATTTTTTTTAAAATTTAAATTTCCCGCCGGTTCCGGCACCCGTACGTCCCGACGTCACAGGGACTGGAACACAGAAGCCGGATGCCGGCATCGGCCGGAGGAGATGGCCGGGGACACTGCAGGGGACACATCGCGGGAGCGAAGGACAAGGTAAGTGCTGCAGGGACCCCCTGAGCAACGCCGCATGGTAAGCCCGAGTGTAGCTCGGGGTTACCGCTCTTGGTATAGAAATTTTACCCCGAGCTACACTCGGGAATACCGCTAAGGAGGTTAATGAAGCTTGGCAAATTCCCTGTGTGTGTTGATTTTCTATTTGTTTTAAAGGTATCCAGTTGAACCCCAGCTCAGCAGTACCTGCACTCAACAGATCCCCATCTCATTAGTGCCCCCGTTCAGCATATCCCCAGCTTATTAGTACCTTCGTCTAGCAGATCCTTTTTTCCGTAGTACCCCCAGCTCTGCTGATGCCCCACTCAGTAGTACCCCCGCTTTGCAGATCCCCCCGCTCAGTAGTAGCCCCCAATTTTGCTGATCCTCTGGTTTGCTGATCTTCTCTCTCTGGTCCCCACTCACCCCCCACTATATTGCTCCCATGCTGCTCACTACGCGTGACATCTCATACCGGCAATACTTCCAAAACAAAATGAAGCTAATCCGCATAAACGCCCCTCAAAAGCTTCAGGTGCTGTAAGCAAGCTTTATCATAGACTTTTATGGAGGGTTTGGAGATGCTTTGAAGCACCAAGAAAGCAACATGGAGTATAGGGTTTGAAGCAAAGCAAACACAACAGTGTCAATAGGACTGTAAGGTAACCTTTTCATTTAGTGACAGGGGCTTTGATTGGCAATCAGGGTGCTTTAAATAAGCATGTCCAATTCCACATTTTGAAGCAAGTGTAATCGAACCCCTAAAGTGTCATTAAAGCCACATAAAAAAACTATCAATAAATGCTGTAATACATGCTGTTCATACTCACTCATTCACCATGGGATTCATTTTCTATATTCTGCAAAAAACCTGGTTGATCCTGCTGTTCTCTATCTCCCCCTTCTATCCATGTCCCCAACGCAGATGGGGATTTTGCAGAGCAGTGTTGGCAGCTGCTGTACATGTTCAGTTTTCAGTGAGTGTCTATACTGAGCATTTCCTCCCTATCACACCTGAGCAGCCAATGTGACTACAGCAGGGGCGGACTGACCATTTGAGCACTCGGGCACTGCCTGAGGGCCCGGGGTCAGTAGAGGATGCCCCTGGTACCTTTGATAGGCTTTTTTGGGTGTGGTTTGAGTGTGGGCGAGGACACAGGACCCCTTGATCCCCTATTGCCCGGGCGCCCCATGAGTTGTCAGTCCGCCCCTGGACTACAGAGTCACACATGTGGGAGTATACACAGTGGTAAATGACAGCTCACTTCCTCTCTCCTCTTCCATACCCACTAACCAGCTAAACACAATGGGGGTGGGATATTACATCTTGATTGATGAAGACTTTACCTCCCTGTCATTCTAAGACACAGGCTGGAGGGGCGTGCTATCATTCCCATACAGAAAGAGAAGGGATAATGTAAATTAAACCGTGCTTGTGTAGTGTCACTTTAATGATAGATTTGCCTGCTATTACAACTTTACTTTATTGCAACTACAACAAAAATGTTAAAAAAAAAAAGCTAACACCATCATGTGACTTTGCTTTCTCATGTAATGGCTGACATTACCAATACAGTCTATAAGGCCCTTTCGTGTTTTCACCACACAAATCTATTGGCTGGCTGAAGCAGCAGATATAGTGTCCTCTCGGCTCTATATTTAGGTTGTGGAAACTCTTAATAAAAAGCAGAGTTTGAATACAGAGCAGAAGTGGCAGGAGAAACTAATCCGCTTAAAGTCATTCGACAACAATGTCTGCGCTATAATATGGAGCTGCCAGTGGTTGGGGATTTAGCCCGCGTGTGCTGTCCTATCCGGTACTTCATTGTTTGTCTCCGGCGCAGTCTAAATTACTTTTAAGGTATCTCTCTTCGACTGCATAATTCAGAAGGCCTAATTCCAGTCTACAGAGAATTACTGCAATGTAAACTCCAAGAGAATTCCGGGAGATTAAATATAGAATTCTTGATTACAGAAATATATGGTAAGATGCAGTCGTATGTTATAGGAGGCTGTAGATTTATATTGCCTTATTTACTGCATGAGTATCCCATTGCTTTACAATATTTTATAGAGTGTTCATGTGTCTCTGAGCACCAATATTTAGTAGTAAATATAATGCTGCGAAGGGAGAGGGAGGTGAGAGGCTACACCTTGTTCTTTAACCACTTCCTGACTGGCCGTTGTATATAAACAGCCGGACGGTGGCAGTGCAGGGTCGGGTGGCCGTTTATAAACGGCCTCCCGCGCACCCTGCTTGTGCGCGCTCCCTGGGAGCATGCAGCACCGCGATCCGGTGCCCTCTGTGTCCTCCGGACACAGTGAAACACCGTCGTCGGACGGGACCTCTGTACAAGTTCCTGATCATGTGATCACTGATTGGCCAATCAGTGATCACATGCAAAGTAGTAAGCAAGATGTCACTTGTGACATCATTGCTTACTTGGAGTGAAATCTGTGAATGATCACAGAGGTCACATGGTACAAGGCTATTCACAACAGCCTTGTACCATGTGACAAGCTGTGACCAATCACAGCTCACTCAGTAGTTCTCAATGACTGCAATAATGCAGACAGAGAGAAAGAGAAATGATTGCTTTTAGATCCTATATGGGTGTAAAAGCAATCAGTGTGAAAAAAAAATCTTTATCACCCCCCACAAGTAGTACAGTGTCACTATGGTGACACTGTACTGCTAGGGTGACAGTATGTAAAAAAAAAATAATAATAATAAAAAATAATATAAAAAAATAAAATAAAAATGTAAAAAAAATGTTTAAAAATTATAATTTTTGGTTATAAACTAATTTGGATTTTTTTTTTACTAAAAAGATAATGGAATAAATTTTGGCCAAGATTTATGATGAAATATTATTTATTTGCAAAATTAAAAGAAAAAAACACTTTTTTTCAAAATTTTTGGACTTTTTCATTTACATAGCAAAAAAAAATAAAAATCCCAGCAGTGAATAAATACCACCAAAATAAAGCTTTATCTGTCTCAAAAAAATGGTAAAAATTCATTTGGGTACAGTGTTCCATGACCGCGCAATTGTCATTCAAAGTGTGATAGCGCTGAAAGCTGAAAATTGCCCTGGTCAGGAAGGGGGTAAAAGTGTCCAGTCTGGAAGTGGTTAAGAAAGGATTTAAGGAAGTATCCCTTACCTGTTCTCTGCCAGAGTTGTTTTTGCCAATGTTTAAAAAATAATTTTAGGTCTTAAGATTACTTAAAACCTCCAAAACATATATTTTCTTCAAGCCGGAGAATAAAATGGTGGTATTTCCAACTTTTTCTATCACAGGATGATAATACAACATTTTAGTAAAAAATACACTAAAGTTAATTTTAGGGTACACAAATGTAATATATTACCCAATTTTTTAATAAACTATAAAAGTTGAGGTTGTGTCGAGTAAATAGATACCCAACATGTCAGGATTTAAAATTGCGCAGGCCAGTGAAACAGTGACACATTTCTCCCTGGTAGCCTGAATTTTCCATAAGTGAGGTCATTAGTTTAGAGGTAACTGTAAATAATGTATAAATGTGAGATACGGTATTACATTACATTATTACATTACATCAAGTTTATATAGCGCCAAAGGGTTTGCTCAGCGCTGTACAATAGAGGGGGGGACAATACATGAAACATTACAGCAACTACAACCAGCACACGAGGGGTTATAGGGCCCTACTCTTTCAAGCTTACAATCTAGGAGGGAGGGGGTAGTGGTACAGGAGGAAGTGGCTGTGGGGGATGGAGTGGTAGGAGGAATGAAGGAGAGCAGCAGTTAGGTGAGGGTGGGGTAGGCTTCCCTGAAGAGGTGGGTTTTCAGGGAGCGCCTGAAGGTGAGGAGGGAAGGTGACAGTCTGATGGATTGGGGTAGTGAGTTCCAGAGGATGGGGGAGGACCTGGAGAAGTCTTGCAGACGGTATCCAATAATCTACTAAACTATCCCAATATTCATAAAAAAACTTTCACCCTTGAAAGTGCTAATAATCATATAACAATATGAATGAATCCCCACCTTATTAAATCCCCACCCCTATTAATTAATGGCAAACAAATCCTAGGAAATAAATCTCCAAAAAATACAAATACAAAGATGAGTAAATAAAATAAAATGAAATGAGATGAAATGAAAAATGAGGTAAATAAAGTCTTCTTCACAAAATAAAATTAATACCCAGTATCATTAAAGTCCAAAATTATAAACAAAGCAATGTCCAAACTCCAACTTGATAATTCTTTAAAGATGTAGAGCCCTTCCTCTGGCTCCCAAGAAGTTGGAGAGTACCTCAAAGAAAAAACAAACTCACAATAGTGTATTACCTCAATACCTGGTATATATCAAAATAAAATGTTTTGTGAAATAAACCAACACTGTGCAAAATCAGTGATGTGCTTCACTCTGTGACAAAAACAACTCCAGTGATGTGTCACCTCTACTGAAATCAGCAAATATACCCTTACCAGAAGTCATAAGATAATACGCCTTGTAAACAATAGAAGGTATCATCAGAAGCGCTTCTTCTCCTCTCCTCTACTCCTGAAGCTTTCCACTTTTATTACCTTCCTATCATGGTACCACATGAGCCTTGCCCAGATCTCTCAGAGATTCCTCCAAATCGTATATAGGTGAAAAGCAATAACATAATAGTATAACACCGTTTGGAAAATGGAACAATACCTTTTAATCAAATCTGCTTACAGCAAACAAATAAAACCAGGTAGTGAATGTATTCCCAATTCAAAGGGTTACCAGGCAGCTTCCAGGTGGATTTCTCTGCGCTTTCCAAACTCTAAGATGGCCGCCGTACCACTTCCGGTTCCTGCCGTAATTCCGACGACACTTTCTTTGACGCGTTTCGTCACATCCAGGACTTAATCATAAAGGATAGACACGTTGGAAACAACCAGCCGCAATTTATCTCACTCCTCATTTTATTTTATTTACTCATCTTTGTATTTGTATTTTTTGGAGATTTATTTCCTAGGATTTGTTTGCCATTAATTATAGGCTGGTGTAACGGACCACCTGACAGCACCTCTATCAGTCCCCTGATAGAGCCTCCCCAGAGTGCGGAGTCTAAGTACCGGAGCACTTGTTCACCAGGGCCCCTGATGGTGGGGATGGACTTGGAGCGCTCCGGGACCAGGTCGCAGCTACCGGGTATCTCTACCAGAGGTAGAGGAGTCTGCCAGAGGCTCCTGTGGGTTACGAGTCTGATGTGAGGGAGCCCGGGGATCCCTGAGGGATGGATGAGCAAGATCAGAGTCAAACAGGCCGTGTCGGTAACTAGCGGGTCGGTGCGGTACAAGACAGTAGGCAAGGGATAGTCGGGTCACACGCAGGGTCAATACCAGAAGATCAGATCTATAAGGGAGCATCCAGGAGCAGAGTCAGGCAAGCCAAGGGGTCAGGACAGGAAAAGGCAACAAGGTCAGACAATCCAGATCAGAGTACTCACAACACAGGCAACAGGATACGCAAAGACCATTCGGCAACAAGTGTCTGTTCAGGGCTGGTTTAAGTAGCCCGCCCTGCACCTGACAGGCGCAGCCTAGATCCTAGTGCCTGCCCAGTACTGTCATACATGACGGGTGCGCCTGGGTCCTAGTGCCCTGCTGCCTGCATGTCTTGACAGACACCTACGCATGTGTAGACCCATGCGTCGCGATGGTCCCTGACAGGTGGGGATTTAATAAGGTGGGGATTCATTCATATTGTTATATAACTGTAAATAATGGCCCTGGAACTATTGCTTTCACTACGGCGTGTGCGGCAATATGCAACATGTAGGGCAATCAATGTTTTCATACATAGGCACCCTCAGACATTATGCAAAAATTGTTTAAGAATTTTTAGATGCAGCTTTTCACAAATTGGTGAACTTCTGCTCATGTTTACTTCTAAGACACTCTAACTCTCTAAGATGCTCTTTTTTATACCCAATCATGTTACTGACCTGTTGGCAATTAACCTAATTAATTGCAACATGTTCTTCCAGCCTTCCCTTGTTAGTACCACTTAATTTGCCAGCCTTTTTTTTGCCCTTTCCTAACTTTTATGAGATATGTTGCTGCCGTTAACTTCAAAATGACTTTATTTTCCCTAAAATAGTGAATATTTTCAGTTTTAAAAATTGATATGTTTTCTATTTCCCTTGTGAATATGAGACTTGCAGATCATTGCATTCTGTTTTTATGTAGATTTTGCACTGCAACCCAACTTGGAATTGGGGTTGTAAGTTCTTGGTGGCAACTTTATTTTTTAAACATTTTAGAAAAAAAAACTTTATTTTTTTATCACATGGGGTCTAAAAGTTCCCTATGTGATAATATTTTGTAGTGACAGGGTCTCTTTATTGAGACCTTAAGGGTCTATTAGACCTCTGATGTCTCACGTGATCTTCATTGAACTTAATGGGACTGCCGAAATCACATAATACATCTTGCTTCAGGATTCTTACTAGGAGTTAGGCTTTGATGTGAGCAGATGCTTTCCACGCCATTTTACGCTCAATATTTAAGACATGTTTCTTTAATAATTAGAATCCAGGCTTCTGCAACAGTCAGTCACATGACCAATGCCATGTCATGTGTTCTCTACCAAAGAATCATGGGGGATTGATGCTCAGGCAGTTCCACTCAATAGGCAGCTCCCCCCCTTCCTGGACCTTCTGCTTTAGTATAGAACAGCCTTTCTAAAGCTTGTAAACACAGAGGAACCCTTGAAATAACCTTCTATGCTCAGAGAACCCCTGCTAAAAATTACTATATCTACAACTCGTGATACGATAGTGTGAGGCTCAATGGGAAGAATGCTCCCTGCACTTGTAGTCATTGGGAAGAATTTCCCCCTTAGAGCTTGCTAAAAAGATCAATGGTGTCAGTGAGAACTTATCTGAGAAAATTCTCATTGCTTAAGGAACCCCTAGTAGAATCTAAAGGAACCTCAGGATTCCATGGAACCCTGGTTGAGAAACCCTGGTAAAGAGAACCTGACCACTGTCTCAGCTTTGGTCATAACTGGCTGTCAGAGTAGGCTTGAACAGGGGCGGGCTGACCATTCGAGCACTCGGGAACTACCCGAGGGCCCGGGTCAGTAGGGGGCCCCGTGAAATGCCCCTGGTACCTTTTTATAGGCTTTTTTTGAGTTTAGGCGAGTATATAGGGGCCCCATGATCCCCTATTGCCTGGGGGCCCCATGAGTTATCAGTCCGCCCCTGGGCTTGAATTTAGGTTGTTACATCAGCAGGAATGGTTTTGTGCAGTTTTATATACATTTTCGTTCAATATTTTTAATACCATGAGTTAAAGAGTACAGTACAGACAGGTCCTTAAAGTAGCATGAGTGATTTGTAAAGATACATTTTTGTAGCAAATTTACTGAAGCTAAGAGACACAGGGTCATTAAATAAATATTATCATCTGCATCTCTAATGGCTTACATCAAGATTTTACATGGAGAATTGCATGTTTGATTTACAAAAAAAAAACTAAAATGCAATATGACTTCGCATATAGAAATTGAAAGAAAAAAATGAAAAGATAAGGTAGGTGTTGGGGTTGTTGGGGTTCATGGAGGTCTGCTTTTGGCAGGATCATCTACACAGGGTTAAAGGGGTAGTATGGTTTACTGATATTTAGCACAAGGATCCTAAGTCTTCTCAAACTGTTATATATACTTACTAAATTTTTATGTGTCATAATCCAAGAGATTTTATTTTTAGTAGGAGAGACTGCAGGTTTTTTCCAGACTCTGGCTATGGAAATTTTGGCTGCTAGCAGCACAAAGGAGATTAGCCTCCGTGAGTTACAAGGGATATTTTTAATTGATTCATGGTTTTCTGAATTTATACACCTGTGACTCTCCGAGTCAAAGCAAAGATGCCATTACAGAATACTCTAATCTTGGAGCCAGGGGCGGACTGACAACTCATGGGGCCCCCGGGCAATAGGGGATCATGGGGCCCCTGTGTCTTTGCCCACACTCAAAAAAGCCTATAAAAAAGGTACCAGGGGCATTTCATGGGGCCCCCTACTGACCCTGGGCCCTCGGGCACTGCCAGAGTGCTCGAATGGTCAGTCCGTCCCTGCTCAGAGTATTCCAACCAGACATGGGGCATCGTGCCCTGGAGGTTACAGCTGCTAAAACAAAAAGATGAGGTACTCATATAGGCAGGAGCCTAAAAAGATGTCTGTATGAAGCCAGGTGCTTGGCTAGAGACAGAGAGCAATTGAGAACACTGTGCCACAATGCTCTGTGCTCCTAGTGGATTTCAGCTGAATGGGTTAACACTACTACATCTCCATCCACCAGGGGGAGCTGACAAGCAGAAAGCGCTTGAGAGATTTGATGGTTGACAGCACTGAATTATGGGAGATGAAGTCTGGAAAATATTTATTTATTATTATTTATTTCAGGTACTTATATAGCGCTGTCAATTTACGCAGTGCTTTACATATATTGTACATTCACATCAGTCCCTAACCCTCAAGGGGCGTACAATCTAAGGCACCTAAATCACATCCATACATACATATACTAGGGACAATTTAGACAAGATCCAATTAACCTAACAGCATGTCTTTGGAGTGTGGGAGGAAACCGGAGTACCTGGAAGAAACCCACGCAGGCACAGGGAGAACATGCAAACTCCAGGTAGGTGGTGCTGTGGTTGGGATTTGAACCAAGGACCCTAGTACTGCCAGGCGGAAGTGCTAACCATTTAGCCACTGTGCTGCCCACAAATAAACTTTTTATAAAAAAAAAATCACTAATGACGTTTATTAATGTTGAAGTCATACAAATCTCAAAATGACAAAGCATAGACAGAATGGTATCAAAGACTTTATCATTGACAAACCGAACAACATAATAAAGAAAACCTTCCAGTGCTATGAATTAGACAAGAAATCCAAGAGTTTATGCAACATTGCAGAGATAACATATTACAATACAATCAGGATATACAGGACAATAGGAGCATCCCCACAATAGTGGACTCACAGAAAACAGAGCACCCCGCCCCCCACCAGGGAACACAGGAGAGACATACACTGGCCTTGAGAAAGTGATAATCAAATTGTAATCACAAGCAACTACAACAGCCGATGCATTATTAAATCAGAAGGGCTAAACCTGGAGTGGCCAACCAAGCATCCTAAACTTCCTCAAATTTACCAGAACATCCTCTATGCTGGTAAAATAAACGATCATATCGTAAAATAATTCCCATATTTTGCAACAGTGGGGGGAGTATCAGAGGTCCCTAGAAGTGCCTTGCGTGCTTGGGACAAGGCCCCCCCCCCCCCCCACCTCTAACATAAATGTATCCTGCGTTACCAAATCTAAAATACCCAAATGGCACTTCTTAGGATCCAATTAAGGGAAATAAACTTTACTATGGAAGTCTATGGACCATTGGCCTACAATTCTCAATGCAAGCCGGGTATAAGGGGAAAAGGGGTTATATTTTCTCAGGGTGAATATCAAGGAACTCTCTTTGCTGCAAGGGGAATGAGGTGTGCACACCACTGCTCCATGTGCTGAGGATCAGGGTCACTGCAGGCAGATCCAAAAGTGAGATAGTGAGACCCCTGTTATTATTTCACTGGGACTGATGAGGGGTCATTGCTGATTAAGTTGTTGCTGCTAGCAGAGACTGAGCACAGAGGGACTGGCCATCTAACTAGCAACATTATTTACTGCATGCAGACTTTACTGGGGCTTAACTTATGTGCATCACTGTAAAGACTGGGCCCCAACGGTAGCCAGCTGAAGAACAAGGGCTAAGGACTATTCACTCAGATAGCTGCCTCACAAGAACTGTGCCTCTTGTCCATAGTAAATGGTACTTTTTTAGGGAGTTTTAAATTTAATTGCTGCCATTCATATACAGTGAGCTCTAAAGTGGATATAGCCAACTGTTTAAAAGTGATTGTTAAAGGTTCATGTATTCTAAGCATGAAGCTAAAAAAAACATCTGTGTGTAGCACCCCCCCCCCCCCCCAAAAAAAAAAAACTTACCTGAGCCCCACCTCGATCCTGTGTTGTGTACAAGAGCCACAACTCTCCCATGTCTCTCCTTCCTCATTGTCTGAAACAGCAGATTTAGCCATTGGCTCCTGCTACTGGTCAATCACACCCAATGAGCTAATGAGGAGAGAGTAGGGGCAGGGCAGGGTGGGGCCAAGCGACACAGAGCAGCAGCTTGGGTGTGAGTTTGCTCAGGTGCCCATATAGCAAACTACTTGCTATGGGGGCACTAGGCAAGAGGGAGGGGCCAGGAGTGCTAATGGGGGACCTGAGAAAAGCAGGATCAGGGCTGCTCTGTTCAAAACCACTGCACAGAGCAGGTATGACATGTTTGTTATTTTTAAACAAAAATATCACTTTAAAGAGCAATAATTGCAGTATTCATTGTCATTGCTGCTTTCTAATGCCATTACTTTTTTGCTGATTAACAGGTATACTATAATTTAGCTGAATTAATCCTTTTTACTTGCTCATTTATGTGTATGCTGTGTGACAGTAGGCAGGTAAAATCACCGGGTTGTGTCCAGGACGGTATATATATCTGCCCGAGATTTAGGCTGGATTTGTTCCACTAGGGGGAACTGCTGAGCCTTCAGCAGTGAGGTAATGAGCCCAGCTGAAGGTAGTCGACTCATTAGGGCCTCTATAAAACTTCCCAGCCTGCTTAGGGAGTTGCTCCAACCTGGAACCAGATCTGTGCCTAAGTAGACTGGGGAGCACCATACTGATCTGTGCGGTGAGACAAAGGCCTGTGCGGCTAGCCTCCAACTGATAGGGACTGGGTGTAGCATAAGGCTGTACCTAGTGGATAGATAGGGAAGCTATTGTATAGTAAGTGGCCAAGTTGGCCAGGATTTGATTTGATGTTTCTTTTTGGTTTGATGTTTTCTTGTAAATATTGTAAATAAACTGCACCGTTTTGTTTTTCACCTACACTGTTGTTGTGTTGTGAATGTGTTTTTGTGTTGTGCACCCACCCAGGGGGTCACACACACCCGCTGCCGAGTGAACCCCTGTTACAGCTGCTATTTACTGCAACCCATGACAATATATTGGGTTATTTTAAAACTAACCAGTCTGATGTTTACTTTTATTACTTAACCCTAGTTGTGTGCAGGGTATCTATATTTGTGCCCCCAGTAGCAGTGCAGTATCCATTGGCTTAACCCGGAGTGTCAGTGGGGCTGAGGTTGTTCTCAGAGTCAAGGCAGAAGAACAGAAGAACCCTGCTCCTAGCTCCTGTAGGGTTAGCAATACATGTAATTTGCGCTTAAGATTTAAAGTGTGGTTACTTAGGGGTTAATTGCGCATTGTGGTGTACGTTCCCCTGCGTTTGTTACTTTCTGCTTTGAGGTGATATATGCAGGAGGAGGTCAGACCTCATGGTCTATTTGCTGTAGGAAGCTGCAGATGTGAGATGTGATTTGTGATACCAAGTTTGGGGCTGCCCTGGAGAAGGACAATGGACTGAACATTAACCACCTTGTGGGAACATACTGTAGATCTGTACGTTGTATGAGGTGGATGCCACAGCACAGCCCAAACACAGACCTTAAAGGATGAGTCAGGGGTGGACTGACAACTCATGGGGTCCCCTAGCAATAGGGGATCATGGGGCTCCTGTGTCCTTGCCCAAACTCAAAAAAGCCTATGAAAAAGGTACCAGGGGCATCTCATGGGGCCCCCTACTGACCCTGGGAACCTCGGGCAGTGCCCGAGTTTCCAAATGGTCAGTCTGCCCCTGGGATAAGTTCATCTTTGTTCACCATTTTTTTTTTCTAACTTCCAGCACACCCCCTATGTACCAATAAAACATTAATCCACTTTTTTTGCAGTAATTCAAAAGCTTTCCATTTTGTTTGCTGTCCAAAAAGCTTCACCATTACTTCTGCCTTACTTTCGGGGAGAGAGACTTTAGGTCATGACACAGGAAGGAGTTGACCAGCTGACCTCATTAGCACACACTCTGCATTATCTACCCTCCTACCTCCCACCCACTTCCAGGAGCATGAATATTAAATGTGCCAAGACAGGTGTTGGAGGACATTGTCCTCCTGTATATGGGGTCTGGTGGAGTAAATTTGGCCTCCAAATATGAGCACACGTGTTAAACAATACAAACCAATCAGAATGAAGGTCCCCCATGTTAACACCCAGGCAGATGTTTGCCAGGTGGGGTGGGACTAGATACCATTAGAACCTTTAGGTTGGCCTCAACAAGTGAGACATTTAATATGTCCTGAGATGGTGAGTTGCAACTTTTAACCACCTCCCATCCGGCCCATTTATATAAACAGCCGGACGGTGGCAGTGCAGGGGCGGGTGGTCGTTTATAAACGGCCTCCCTGCACCCTGCTTGTGCGCACTCCCTGGGAGCGCGCAGCACCGCGATCCGGTGCCCGCCCGCTGTGCCAGTGAAACACACCGATCGTCGTCCGTGCGAGGTCCCGTTCATGTGATCACTGATAGGCCAATCAGTGATCACATGCAGAGTAGTAAGCAAGATGTCACTTGTGACATCATTGCTTACTACGTGTGAAATCTGTGAATGATCACAGAGGTCACATGGTACAAGGCTATTCACAACAGCCTTGTACCATGTGACAAGCTGTGACCAATCACAGCTCACACAGTAGTTCTCAATGGCTGCAAGAATGCAGCTAGAGAGAAGGAGAAATGATTGCTTTTATAGCCTTTATGGGTGTAAAAGCAATCGGTGTAAAAAAAAAAAAAAAAAAAAAAATCTTCATCACCCCCCACAAGTAGTACAGTGTCACCATGGTGACACTGTACTGCTAGGGTGACAGTATGTAAAAAAAACAAAAAAAACAATAATAATAATATAAAAAAAATTTAAAAAATGTTTAAAAATTATAATTTTTGGTTATAAACTAATTTGGGTTACTTTTTTTTTTTTTCTAAAAAGATAACGGAATACATTTTGGCCAAGATTTATGATGAAATATTATTTATTTGCACAATTTTATAAGAAAAACACTTTTTTTAAAATTTTTGGACATTTTCATTTACATAGCAGAAAAAATAAAAATCCCAGTGGTGAATAAATACCACCAAAATAAAGCTTTATCTGTTTCAAAAAAAATGCTAAAACATTAATATGGGTACAGTGTTGCATGACCACGCAATTGTCATTCAAAGTGTGATAGCAATGAAAGCTGAAAATTGGCCTGGTCAGGAAGGGGGTGAAAGTGTCCGGACTTGAAGGGGGTGAAAGTGTCCGGACTGGAAGTGGTTATGGGCTAAGACAGGTGTTGGAGAACATTGTCCTTCTGTATATGGGGTCTGGTGGATTTGGCCTCCAAATATGAGCACACATGTTAAAAACAAACCAATCAGAATGAAGGTGACCCCCCATGTTAAAACACCCAGGCAGATTTTTGCTCTTGCTGTGGATTATCATTGAGCTCCGTGTCCCATTCCATCATATATGATAACCTGTCTGAGGGTTCCTAGAAGCAGCCCATATATATTAGAAATTCCTCCCCTCTGTCCCATTTCTTGGGCACACCATTTTTCATACGCAGTAAGGCATGGGGTCTTAGATTGGTGTGGTTTCGTATACATTTTCCTATATCAAACTTTCTTAATTGTGAAATAAAACTCTTCTTCATTTTGAGTGCTGGTCCACTTTAAAGCCTTTTATTAGATTGCGATTTGTGAACACCCCATCGGTAAAGTGTCAGGATTATGATTAGAGCGGGTAATTAGAAACTTGTTAATGAGATAAGAATATGCTTATCCTCCCCACAGAAGAGCTAATTGTCTTACAAAGCGCTTTCTGTTAAGATGTGACTTGTGATTATCGATCCAATCTATGAAAGTAGCTGTGCAGCGTTTTTTTATTGTACAGCTGGACACAGGCAATAGACAGTGGGGCAGTGCGGAAAAATTGCATAACCAACAAATATTTTTTCTGTCCACATAACTTTCGTAATTATTATTATTTTCCATTCTAGATGCTGAGATAGCTGTATAGGTTGTGTGGTGTCTTATGATTTCACACTTTTACTATAAAAAGTCCTAATGGCATAGCGATGAGGTCTGGTGCACATTTTGTATTTGGATTCACACCTTGCACAGCCACACTTTTCATGGTCTTCCCTTTCTTGTCACCTCTCCCCTTGGCTGAGTCCCCTACTTAAAGTGAAATTGTGCTCTGCCAATGCAAGGCAAAATAACAGCTCTTATGTTATCCTACTTATATGTATCTTTTCAGTGTTGTATTCAATTGCATCAGATTATTATTGTTATGTAGTATGCTGATTCCTAGTGGCGATTTAGAACCATTGCAACTTGTTTACTCATGTGATTTGGTATCTCCCTCTCCTGTTTCTCCCAGGTTCCCTCATGCAGTGTAAATATTTTATAGAGACCAGGTTAAGGAAAGTAATTGTCTTTTTACACGTTAAAATACTGTAAACACATCCTATGTACTACAATTATCCAAAGTAATATTACATTGGATTCAACATCTGTATCTTACTGAAGAGTTAAGCTTCCTATGGATAATGCCAAGTCAGCAGGTGACCATACTGTCCGGACAGACTGGGCCTAAGTAGGTTGTCAATGTATAAAGCGGCATTTGAAATAGAACAGGTCTACTTTGATGCGGACCTCCATAGATACATATTAAGTTAGCTTCATTTTGATTCCTTTGCTGGTCAGCTGGCAGAAGTGAAAGCAAAACCCTATATGAGCTACAAGTCTCCTGATTTATATCCTGCATATTGCTACGTATTCTTCTGAATGGGCAAAGCACAGCTGTCAGGATCCAGATCTGAACCTGAGACCTCTTCAGCATCTGGCTGTGACTCTTCTCACTGTGCCATCTGAGAAGCTGGACAGCTCCTTACCTGATCCCCTGGACAACCGTACTTTGTACCTTGTTTCTGTGAACCTTAAACTCTTTGCTCCTCCTGTGAACTTCTGTCTTAGACCATGTCTCTGCACTTCCTCTTTGCCAGATTATTGTGCTCTCCAGTCGAAATCTTGCTCCTATGCATACTTGCGCTGTCCTTGTTTTGCTACTACTCATTACCAGACCTTGACTTGTTCATCAGCTGAGCTTCTGCCTGATCCCATCCAGCTATTACGTGTTACTGACCTATTTTGGATTGTTCATTGACTACTCTTCTTCTGCTTGCTCCTTATCTGCTTCACCTGCTATCTGACCCTCATTTGCTTCCTTCCTGTTGGGGTAATTCAGAGGGCCATGACCTGGAATTATCACGCAGAGAAACCCATTGCCGCCATCAGGAGCTCAGGTTAAGGCCTGGCTAGTGCCTAGACTTGAAACCTCTGGTAGAGCAGTGGTTCTCAACCTTCCTAAGGCCGTGACCCTTTAATACAGTTCCTCATGTTTTGGTGACCCCCAACCAATAAAATTATTTACCCAGTAATTATAATTCATGAGTATCGACTGCTGCTTTCTACACAGTGTCAACACAGTAGCGCAGTAGCTGCTTTCTACACAGTAGCTGACAAGCTGCTTTCAACACAGTAGCTGCTTTCAACACATGCTTTCAACACAAGCTGCTTTGTAGCTGCTTTCAACACAGTGGGCTTTAGCTTCTACACAGTATAATAGTAGTTTTTCCGATGGTCTTAGGTGACCCCTGTGAAAGGGTCGTTCGAGGGGTCGCGACCCACAGGTTGAGAACCACTGCGCTAGACATAGAAAGAGAGATGAAGGTAGTGCCAGCCTTGCCAGAGTACTGAGTGGAGTATTGTCATAGAGAATGAGGTAGTGCCAGGGCCATCTTGGGCATCTTGGGGAAAAAGGGATCTGTATATATTGCCTGGCCAGAGACCATCTGGTAAATGGTGTTTGGGAAGCGTTGCCAAGTAATGGCAAAGATGTAATCTTGAGGGTCTATCTCTGAAAGCTTCGTCTAAAGGGGAAGCAAGGATGAAGGGGTGCAGGACTCGCATAACCTTTGCATGCGGTGCAGGACTCTAGCAAGCCCCCTAAAAAGCTAAGGTCTCCTCAACTCGGCTTGCTCTGCTTGTTACTGTTGCACTTACCATCTGAAACATTAAAGGAATGTGCCATCACCTCGGGGATGACTTAAGAATGTTATTTTTAACTAATATTCAACTAATTCATTTAAAAGTCTTTCTGTTTGGACTCTTCCTTCTCCTATCCTCTAAATAGGAACATTCTTTGAAAATGAGCAGATGCTGGGTGACGCTGCAATTGGGGTCTATTACCTGCGTAAAGTATGGCATGGACTACTGCTGGCGCTTTTTGGGTCTGGCCCAGGGGGCCTACCAGGAATGCTCAGGTTTTGGTGCTCAAGGGATCCTCCCCTGGGCTCAAAGTATGTGGGAAGTCTAAGGGGACCGACCTATGTCAGGTAGGAATGGGTTAAAGTGGAGGACATGGAGGGCAAGATGCAGAGAGGCCACTAAACAACAATTACATAGCAAAATTAAACAAATAACATAGATCTGTGCTTTGTCCATGCAGGGCAAATCATGAAGTTCACTTTACCAGTGGTTCCACCAACATCATACACTCACTTCTCCTTTCTCTTGCTCCATTAAGCTTCCAGAAGTGCACAAAAATACCTAGAACATTCCGGTACAGAGGACTATGTGACTCCTCTCCTTCCAACACAACAGGACAGGTGTTCAGGCACTCAGCTCTATCAGATGGTCTTGACTGGAGGAGATGGGGGGTAGAATAATTCTTTATCACTGTGTAAGCTCCAAATCCTGATTTGGCCTTTACACATTTCTTCCAGGCTTTGCTCCAATGGCTGAAGAGAGTGACAGCAGAGTAAAGGGAAGGTATATGCAGCTGGTGGAGTCTGCATTAAAGTGAACCTGTTTCTTTACCCTGCATAGGCAAAGCACGGGTTCACTTTAACCTCTAAGCACCCTAATTTCAGTAAAGAAACTGAGCCCCTTTGGTGCACTACAGCTATGTCAGCCTTTGAAAAATGATGTCCCATAAGTGTGTTATAATGGAGGTGCTTAATAAGGGACAAATAATCTAGTTGGTAGCTAGAAAAGTGCAGGAGTGGTGGCTCCAACATGCGAGGAAGGTTTTGGGTGAAGTCTGGGGGGGAATGTTGGGTGGTGACAGAGAAAGATACTCATAGGCAAAGTACCAACAAAAACTGTGGAATAAACAGAGATCATTCATAGTTGCCTATGGTCAGTTAGATAGGTCCCTGAGACATTTTCCCGTAGTTTCGCCCTGCAGCCAGGCACACGAACACAGTAACTCTTTGGCACAGTAAACAGTCCAGGGGTGTTCTTTTTGGTGTTTTTATTTTTAGGGATAACTTGGATAGGGATTGGGGATAAATGGGATGCTCCAAAAAGAACAACGTACAAGCTGAGAACACTAACATTGAGCACTTTAGCACAGTCTTTGTAGGGACCAGTAATGCACTTGGCAAAGTTGAAGTCAGACGAATCAGACAAAGGCACAATTGTCTTGCTTTAAGCACCTTGAGCAGAGTCCCTTTAACACAGAACAAGATGGACAAAGCTCTTCAGGATACCAGTCGGTGCCCCCTTTTTGCTGCACTCATGGCTGACTCTCTAGCACCAGGGGGGTAGCAGAAGACCACAGTCTCTAG